CACTGGGGTGAAACACACACACACACACACACACACACACACACACACACACAGAAGAAACCACAGCTTCTCCTTTTTTTCCTTTCTACCCAGGCACTGGGAAAGCTGGCAGTACTACAGCGACCCAGAGCCTCCCCCTTTGGTTTTTCAAACACATCACGTACCCTGAGTAGGGGCAGATCTTCACTACAGTCTCTTCCCAACGTAGATGACTTTCTTTCCATCTTTCTATCGGGGAGGTAGGTCCACAAAATAAGATCATCTTCCTGGTTCTCCTTCACGTTTCTTAATATTTTCCCCCAAAAAACATTAAGGATGGATAAAACCTTCCAGCACTTGCTGCAGGTAACAGTAAGGGCTAACAAAGCAGGTGGTGTGGGAGTCAGGGGCTGGAAGGATTTAGGATGACACAGTGACTGTCAGTTCTTATCCTATGGTGGAGACAAGCAAAGCCCCTGTTTAGGGGGCATTCATCTTATGGAGGGCATGGATAAGGAACTTAGAAACACCTGAATGCAGCACAATGGACACAGCTAGGCAGGGAGGATGGGTAGGAACAGATGGGGGAGTGGGGCTCTGAAGGGTGGGTTCACTCTCAAGCCAAGCCTACAAGAGGAACAAGAAAAAACCATACAGACATGAGCAAAACAAAGCATCTTGGGAGAAACCTGCTAGTGCTAAGGCCTTCAGGCAGGGGATGGCAAAGGGGCCAGGGAACTCAAAGAAGAGAATGTATCCTTCTGCAATCAGGGCAGCAAAAGGGACAGAGCTGGAGTTTGAGCCAGGCTGACCTGGACTCTCAGCTCTGCTCTGGCATTGCATCCTCCTCTCATCTATAAACAACTGGCCACAAAAGTTCATTGCAAAGGGTGTGGAATGTGACTCTACTTCCCACAGGATATACATCATACACCAGGTCCTATCCACCACCAGTCTTTCCCTCTTTGCCTGGTTACCGGGCTCCTATCTATTGCCCATTGTGGTAAAATAAAAAATGTTTAAAGCAGGACATTCCTGGTCCTCCAAAAGATCCAACTTGCATCACACCAAGTGCAAGAACAGCCTTCATCTAAACAGAGTACTGTACCATTGACAAATGTAACATTTTAATATCTGCTTTCAAAAATCTGGAGGAATCTACACTGTACTGCTCATAGTGGTCATCACTGAGGGCTAAGGTTACCAAAGATTTTGACCACTGACTTTCAACATTTTTAATTTTGAAATGTTTGAAGATTCTACAAGGAGCACAGAACATGTTCAGAAGCAGAAATCACAACACAGGCTCCTGTGGATGCACAGGAATTGACCTGCTAGCTGGCGTCAGTACTGTGTCAGTGTTGTGTATCCCCCAGCCCATACCTCACTGAAGGCACTGGGTGTGATCAACTGTGAGAATTCCACAGCTCTTCTGTGGGGAAGACTGAGCAGACAGAGGTTCAAAGGCAGAGTGAGGGCCCTCAAATAACACCCAGGCCAAAGGAGAAGGTCCTGGGAAGAATGAAGCCTGAGATGGCCTTTGACCATCATCTACACAGTGGACTCTGTTTAAAAGGGGGCAGAGGGCTGGGGAGATATCTGAGTGGCATAAGTGCCTGCCTGGCAAGTGCAAGGTCCCGAGGAAAGAGGTGGGAACAGAAAGTGAACTACTCTCCAAATAAAATGAAAATTTCTCATGGCTGCCACCAAGGATTGAAATAGAAACAGATGAAAATCAAGTATTTCAAAGTAGGCTAACTGTGAACTTCTTTCGTGATTTGAGACTGTCAATATTGAAAAAAACATTTTTTTTTTTTTGAGACAGGATCTTGCTATGTAATATAGCCTGGCTTTGAACTCACAGCAATCCCCCTGCCTCAGCCTCCTACATATTCCGATTACAAGCATGCATTAGCATGCTCAGCCCCCAAAATTTCATCTTAGAGAATATTACATTAAGGAATACGATGAGAAAAAAAAAAAAACTACATTTCACAGTTAAGAAGGTTATAAGGTTAGGCAAGGGAACACAGATATTCCTGTTCCCAGGGTCTCAATGGATCAAAATGTACATTATAACCAATGAGTTCTACAGCTTAGAAAACTTTGAGTTCTCTCTTCCCCTCCAAAAATATACTTCAGTTGAGGGGAATAAAAAATAATGCTTAAGCATCCATAATGGCCCACACGGAATCTCCCACTTTAAAAATACATTTCAAGGGGAGGAAATGTAAGTATAGAAACATTTTTAAATTCCCTGAGTTGGCCTTTGTACCAAAAGGGGTGCCTGGCTCTATATTAAACAAAACCCTGTTGGAATGGGAGGCAGTGGAGTAGACATTTATTACCTGCAATTTTATGACATTCCCGACTGGAGAGGAGAGTAATATTTCCCACAGGAAAACTCATTTTTTTGGGAGGAATCAAGCAACATTTCTCTTTGCTTTCTGCTCTTTCCCAGTACAGTATGATCAGGATTCCACTTGCGTTTACATGATCATAGGCTGGAAATCTCCAGGGCAAAAAAATTCCACCTCAGCACTTCCATCTGCACTGGGTGATGCACTCTTCCATAGCTGAGTGTTTTCTGATTTCCACGAGTCAAGAGTGCCATACATAGTGCTTTACTGTCAACAGAACACAGTTCTGTATAACAGAAAAGGTAAAGTCCCAGGTACTCTAAAAGTCACATTGCCCAAGAAAGAAAAGAACCCAGAGCTTGTTAGAATTTGTAACAGACAATCTTATATTTCCTACTTAATAGTACTCATCAGTTGATAATTAAAAACTATACTTTCAATAGGATGTGCTTTTCAAATAATTTCTTGTGCCATATTTACCTGTGATGTACTTATCTTTCTTTTTCTTAAAATACGGAATGCTTCATGAATTTGTGTCACCCTTGCGCATGGGCCACGCTAATATCTTTATCATTCCAATTTTAGGATATGTGCTTCAAAGTGAGCAAAGCTACGGTATATCTTCCTCACCACTATCTCAACCAGCACCTGGTATACTTTCTTATAACAATGTATTTGCCAAAAAAGTATTAAATACACATCCACGGTTGAACACAAACACATTCCAATAAATTTGGATGAACAACCGATACAACTGTAGAGATGAGATTGTGGTCCACGGGTGGTCTGGATTCTTTCACCCCATTAAGGCACACTGGTGAATGTGTGATAGTGTTGTTGTGATGACTGGCAGTGGAACCAGGACAGTTCATGTAGGAGAGTTCAACAGAAGGCTGTCTTAGACCGCTTTTTAAAAAAACAGGCCTAGTTATCTTTTCAAAAAAATTCTACATGGACCCATTCTGAAACAACAGTTTTTCTTAGCGGAAAACCACAAAAAAGTTGGTGTGGAATCAGTGAAAAGGAAAACCACATCCAAGCTGGTGTGCTCATGCATAAACTTGCATACTAGGGTTAAAGGCTGTCCTCCCTTCTCCCCAGCTCAGTAACCACATGCAGTTGAGGCTGCATCCTTACCTTGTCCCTGACAGTGTGACCTTGGGCAAGTCAATTAACCTTTCTGTTTTAGCAACCTCACCTTTGATGTGGGGGTTACAGGTTGTGCTGAAAACTCAGGCAGATCATGGGCAAACACCTTTAACTCAGCAACTGCTATACAGAACCACCCCCATCCTTACATGTTGCACTAAGATCCAGCCTCCATACTCCAACATCTTGTAATAACTGTTCGACTCTATGCTTCTAGCTTTTACTGTCCTTTTTGTCACAGTACTTGGGGGGAAGAAACAGATAAGCAGTTATAGACATGGCACTTTTCTGTTCCTCAACATAAGGTGAAGAGCAGGGGAAATAGGTAACACATGCCTAAAGGAAATTCAGTCCTTAGGATTCAATGTTACAGGTATGCATATGGAGTAAAAACATCGTATTATTTCAGCGTGTGGCATCTAAAGCAACACATCATGGATTTTATTTTAAAAATAAGAAAGCCAAGCAGCATTAAAAAGGATAGCATGTCCCCACATGGGCCTATCACGGTCCCAAACTGGGGACCGGCATCGGGTGGAGTATGGGGCTTTCCTGGGGTCAGACTTCCAACAGGTGGCTAGTTTTTGTCATCTTCAAATGCAAAATCTTAATGTGTTCGATTGAATATGTAAGTCTCTGGGATTTTGTTCAAGGCCCCTCTTGGGAATTCAGGGAGGCAATTTTCTGGGTCTAAACCTCCCTGGCAAGTTAGCAAGCAGAGACCTGTCTGCAGCTTTCACTTGTTTCCTGAACAAGGTTCTGGCCTGACGCTGAGAACTCACCCTTCTTTCCAGCCAGCCCAGCCTGCCCTGCCGCTAGACGCTTTCATCAGCCCTGGGAATCCACCAGGTCTGGAAGTGGTCACGACACACCAAACCACAGATCCCCGGAGTGCGGGATTTCCACCTCTCCACCGCGTCTGAAAACTGAACACTGGCGCCTGCTTGTCCTACTGCAATGGGATTCCCCAGCAGCACCCCCCCCCCACCGCTTGCATGATTTATTAATAAATGCAAGATGGCACACGGAGGCAAAGCACAGGAGGCATCAGCAGCTGGGCCCGACCCAGGGCAGTTTGTAAAAAATAAATAAGAAGCATGTGACCAGCAACGGGTCCTGGGGCTGTATCGAAGCCCCGGTCTGCCCCGCGCACGCACCCCGAGGGCTCCTGCCAGGGGATGAAGGTCAGGGGTAGACCCCGTCCCAGGCGCGCAACCCGCACCACGCACCGGAGAGAACACTTACCTGCTGCGGCTGGCGTCCGCTGCGCCCGGCCGGCCAGCTCCGCTCAGCTTCTCGCTGCCTCCGCCCCCCGCCCGCCTGCAGCCC